AATCCATCCATCCATTTTCTTCCGCTTATCCGGGGTCGGGTTGCGGGGGTAGCAGCTTAAGTAGGGAGGCCCAGACTTCCCTCTCCCCAGCCACTTGGCCCAGCTCCTCCGGAGGAATCCCGAGGCGTTCCCAGGCCAGCCGAGAAACATAATCCCTCCAGCGTGTCCTGGGTCTTCCTCTGGGTTTCCTCCCGGTGGGACGCGTCCGGAACACCTCACCAAGGAGGCGTCCAGAAGGCATCCTAAACAGATGCCCGAGCCACCTCAACTGGCTTCTCTCGACGTGGAGAAGCAGCGGCTCTACTCTGAGTCCCTCCTGGATGATCGAGCTTCTCACCCTATCTCTAAGGGAGAGCCCAGACACCATGCGGAGAAAACTAATTTTGGCCGCTTGTATCCGAGTTCTTGTTCTTTCGGTCACAACCCAAAGCTCATGACCATAGATGAGGGTAGGAACGTAGATCGATCGGTAAATTGAGAGCTTCGCCTTTTGACTCAGCGCTCTCTTCACCACAACAGACCTGTACAGCACCCGCTTCACTGCAGACACTGCACCTATCCGCCTATCGATCTCACGCTCCATTTTTCCCTCATTCGTGAACAAGACCCCAAGATACTTGAACTCTACCACTTGGGGTAGGACCTCCTCCCTGACCCGGAGAGGGCACTCTACCCTTTTCCCGCTCAAGACCATGGCCTCAGATTTGGAGGAACTGATCTTCATCCTGGCCGTGTCGCACTCGGCTGTGAACCGCTCCAGCGAAAGCTGTAGATCATGATCTGATGAAGCCAATAGGACCAAATTATCTGCAAAAAGCAGAGACGCAATCCTAAGGCCACCAAAACGGATCCCCTCAACACCTTGGCTGCGCCTAATATATATATATATATATATATATACTAAAATAAACTGCTACTTACTACTCCTTTGCGGTTTTTCACTTATCGTGGGGCTTCAGGGTACGGACCCCCACAATAAACGAGGGACTACTGTACATGTTTCTGACATGGATTGATCCATCCACTCTTATTTTTTGCATGATGTTTATGAACAAAAGTTCTGTACAACTCCGAATAGAACCATCTCAGATCCACCTCTTACCTAAGGCCTTTTATTTATTTATTTTTTTAAATCAACTTACTAACTTACCATGTAGGGACAAATTTGCGAGCCAGGACCAAACATCAGCTCACACTGCCTGTTTGCGTTGTAAATATGGCCAGGAAGGAGTGTGGGAAGCTGGTATGTTCTGCCTACAGGCTCATCAAGGAGACACTCCCCATATCCAGTGCTAAAAGACAGGAAGACAGTATGTATAGTCACCAAGAAAAGAAAAGCACAAAGCCTGACTATAACTAGAACAAAATGGATTTTCACTGGGTCATTTTGAGGTAATCCGGTATTTTTATGACCCTAAGAAGCAGCAACATGTGTCATCTTATTCATAAAAGCTAAGTAAACAGCCCTGTGTCCTTGTCTGTGATCATCCTCAGATGTTTCATCCTCTCTTGTGGGTGGTCTGCACAGTTACCTAAAAGAGATGTTCTTTTTAAAGTTGCTTGGTTGATAAATCATGTTACCATACGTTAGTTTCAAAATATTGGTTAACAACAGAATTAAGAAAAGCAACAAAAAATGTTTGTTTGTTTTTTGTCTATTCTGAGATGTGTTTTTTTTTCTTCTCATGGTGTAAGTGCAAACAAGAGAAGTGAGAATCCTAATTTATGATCTTCATAAATCAGAGATGGCTCAAGCACTGAAGTATAATGACAGACTGTGTTTAGTGCAGACACACCCTGAGCCACCCTGTGAAAAAACAAAAGCACAGCTGGACCCAACATATATGCATCAGCAGCCTGCATATAAAATCAGAAGCCTTTACAGCTGTAAAAAGACATCAGTCAAACATGTTAGCAGAGAAAGCCAAACCACAAACCCATCCAGCGTTTTTTGTTTGTTTTCTTTTGTTTACTTGATTAAAAGGATACTTTGAGATGAGTCATGTATAGATAAGTAATTACTCAACATGTCTGCACCGCTTTGACTAATTTCCTCCTGGATTGAGCAGCTAAAACACCTGCTCCATAATGCACCAGCTGATGTGACAGGCCAATATTTAAACAGGATTATCCTGGGTTACAGTCACTTTGTTTCGTTGCCCTTTCATTTCCAGCGGTACTGAAGAAACTGCAGCACATGCTGCCTGCCCGCAGGGGCGTGATTGCACAAGAAGAAAACATGAGCAGTCAAGACTGTGCAAACGAAAGGCAAAGTGCAGCCTGTCAGAGAACTATACGTTCATTTACTGGAGTGTCTGTCAGCAGCTGGCCATATGTCAACGGAGAGTTTTCAAATGGTATGAATATACAGTAAAGACAGACAAACTTAGAGAGAACAGGTTATACTGGCTCTTTTAAAAATGAAACATTTTAGGCTGGAAGGAAAAAAAATCAGTTTAGGAGATTGCTTGAATTTTTGAAAGTGAGGGTCTTACCCAGTGCTGTAGTCTATGTGATACGTAAACATACGAAGTATACCCACTAGAAAAGCTTGGAAATGTCAGTATACCCATTTAAAAGTGTCCAATGACCCGAGCCCATGTCATGTATTATTTATTGGCAATGAGACATGGGCTCGTGTCATTGTCAACACATTTACATTTTATAGACACATTGAGTTGGTTCAACCTGTTTTTGTATAGTTAATACTTCTGTACTTAATACTTAATACTTGAACATGTTTTGCTTTGATACTGTTTTATAAATTATATAACATGTCTTTAATGCAAATCCAACTGTTGTACAAAGTTTGTTGTACATTTATTCAAATAAAAGCATCATAGAAATTTTGAAATGTTCAATATGCTTAAAAGTCTAAATAAATTGACGATTACAGTGTACTAACCAGTGTACTTTGGTTTCTAAGCACAGTACACCCACTACAAATATGTAGACTACACCACTAGTCTTACCTGCTCAATAAACCTAAATAAACAGCCAGTTACTAATGCTTAGTCCAAGCGGGGCCATTACTAAAGCAGATTCCTAAATATATATATATTCAGGGATTCAAGTAAATGCTGGTTTGTAAACATTTATTTTGAGTCACTTTTACACTGCAGGCTGAAAAGTCTGATTATTTACTCTAAAGACCATGTTGGTCTATGTTCCATTAGTGAATCCTGTTCCAGGTGAAATCCAAATTGCAAAACAAAACATATCATGCAACACTGTCTTCAGTGTAAATAAATGTGTAATGCAAAACATGACGCTGGTGTAAAAACACAATGACATACTGAATGGAGTAATTTTAGAAGAGCAGCAATCCATTTTAACCCCAACATTACTCAGACTAGTTATCTGTTGGTGGGTACACTTGATACAAAAGTATGGGAGATTGTGCCACCAACTTGAAGCTGTTTCCTTCAACAGGCCTGCCAAGGCCAGTGAGACTGCGCATACCTGGAAGGTGGTTACACATATGCTGCATCGTCCCATTACCTTAATTGTTTAGCTCTTCACCTCATTTAAACCTGAGTGCAGGTTTCTTGTATAAGGCTTAAGTCTGAATGAAGCTAAGTTTGCTCTCTGTCCAGAGTGGTTTGATCCTGGCTGCTAACATGCAGCACAAAAGTCACAACAAATACAGACGTATTTGCTTTGCTATCAATCTAGGCTGTTTAGCTTGCAACAGCAAAAATCACTCACCGTATTAAGGATTGAATGCTCTCTGCCATTAGGCATTGCAGATATATACTGAGTGGCCATAAGGCTGGCACAAAACTGAGAAGCAGTTTGGGTACTTTGCTTGCACTGTAGTGGAAAATTTCTGTCCAAACAGTTTTCTCTCAGGGCTGTGGAAGCTATTTCTCAAGCATTTTGCCAGTAAAGGTACGTGTGTTCACTGCTGGGTGCAGTTACTGTATCAGAGGTATGGTCACTTCAACGGAATTATTTAAGGAAAGCCCAGTGATGGACATATGCTCTTCTACCATCTGGGCATCTCCTCATACATTCATCAGATTTGACGGCTTGGCCATGACAGCCTGTTGCATCACTCAAGATGTTCTCTCAGCAAGGATGTGATGAACATCCATCTGCTGCCTTGTCAGGTTTAGGTTTTCCCCTTTCTCTCTCCATACATGTTTTAGGGCATGATTGTAAGTTCCCATACTCATATGTTGTCCTGAGTGTACCAACGGAAATTAAACTGGAGGTTCTTCTCTGAAGAACCAAAGCAAAGCATAACACAAGCCCACCCCCCAATGCTCCAGAGCTGGGTAACGTGTATCACAAATTAAGGGAATGAGTCAGTGCAGCATATTTATAACCTCAGGAGCTTATTGGGTTTGCAGCTGTCTCGTTGACCATAGCAGGCATTATGAAGACCACATCTTCAGGCTGGTTTCACGAGAGCACAAAACTCCATTCTCATGTGTTTGCTTGAAGTCCTCTCACAGAAAATCTGTTTCACTAAACTGAAGTTAGCTGAAGAGCTATCTACAACAGGTACAATACTGACTTCATATAACCTCTACACAAAACTCAGCAAAAAATAAAAATACTTTGAGGCCATCTCTCTCTGGCACTAGATAAAATCCCACACCTGGCATCCATCTGAAGATTTGAAAAGCTGGTTTACAAACAGACTTTGATTATGCCATTATGTGCTTATCATGTGAAGCTAAACAAAATTCTGTGTACAAGATACAGACAGGGCAAATGTACCCATATCACGAACGGATGTTTTCTGCAGATGGCTGGGGGACAAAGAACAATACTTTATAGCAGTGCCTCTCAACTTGCAGCTCGCGGGCCACTTGTGGCCCGCAAGAGACATTAGCCCAGTCTGCAAATTAGTTCATAAAAATAAATGTAAAAAAATTATCTGGAAACAAAAATTAGAGATTTTATTTTTTTAATTATTACATTTTCCCAGGCCACCCTCCCCTCTGAAAGCATTGACTTACATGACACAATGCCAGGCCAGGCCTCATCCAGAGACATCATTTATCAGCAAGGACACTTGCTGTCAAATGCTCAGTGCTTTCTCCCTTATGGATCAACCTCTGACTCACGGTATCAGTTTACAGCCAATAACCGAGACTTCAACATAAATGCCAAACCAAACCTGAACAGGACATTAACACGAACAACCCATTTCCACACCCAGAAACATCCTAAACAGTCAGAAACATTATAAGCCTATATATAATTTCAAAAGACTACCCAGCATCCATCGCAGCTCACAGTCCCTCTGGGACTCTCTCGCAGAGAGAACTTTGTGATTTTGGGGAGAAAAAAAAGTTTAAACAGAGACACACCTTTGTTTTAATATGGGCCTGCAAATATCCCTGTTTAGGTGTTAATAATGTTTAATTGACTCGTAGGGCACTCTTTCTCTCCTGCTATGCGAGGAGATGTGATAAACTGATCATACCGGTGCGTGATAACCTGCGAGCTGGATTAAACAACAAACAGATTTATTACCAAGGGAATATTGATGATGATGCACAGTAAGTTTGTAGTTTGTTTAAAAATAGTTAACCACAAAGAGGATGGATTAAGTGAGTTACTTCATTATAGTAACTGACATGAAGGAGACGTTCAACACACAGCACCGTGCTTGCTTTCAGTCCAGCTGAGTTATGCTCCGCCTCTTTTGGTTCCACTCAAAGCTCACATCTGAGTGGGACGAGGATGCTTCACCTGTGATTTATGCAAGAACTGGTCTGTGCAGCCATTTCATTGTAAATAAGAGCTGGTTCTTAACTGACCTACCTGAATAGTCAGAGAACATCAAAAACTGTCAACTATTTTTAATTTTATAAAGTGTAAAGGTTTGACAAGTCAGCGTTGGCAGAACAATATTTGTAATAGGAGACATAGTATGTAATTTTTGTTTTTAATGTTGTTCCACATTAGAACATGACTTCATTGCAAGGAAATAAATTTTTAAATGTAACTTATTTGAATTACACATGTGGGTTCTGTTTATTATTGCATAGTGCTATTCCAATTGTTTGATATCTGGGTGTCCACAAACTTCTTTAAAACGTCTTCAGCTGATCCAAAACACTGCTACCAGAGTTTTAATGTGAGTTGATAGGAGAGATCATATTTCTCTAGTTTTAGCTTCTCTCCATTGGCTCCCTATCAAGTCCAGAATTGAATTCAGAAGCTTACTTCTAACCTAAAAAGCCCTCAACAACTTAGCTCCATCATATATTATAGATCTTATTGTTCCATATTTTACTAACAGAGCACTTCACTCTCAGACTGCAGGTTTAATTGTGGTCCCTAGAGTTCCCAAAAGCAGAATGGGAGGCATAGCTCCTCTCTTGTGGAACCAATTTCCAGTTCCTGTCCATGAGGCTGACACATTCTCCAGTTTTAAGACTGGGCTTGACTCTCCTTTCTGATAAATCCTATAGGGTTGGCTTGGGTTTCCTGAGCTGTCCCTTACTTATGCTGCAATAGGCTTAGACTGCTGGAAGACAAACTGACCACATTTCTTCACTATGCTATTGTCGTTACTTTTCATCCATTCATTCAACCTTTATTTAAACAGATAAGTCACATTGAGCCTTGAAGACTCATTTACAAGTGATACCTGTTTGGACAGGCAATAAAAAGTGGTGACAAATGACACAGGTTTTGGAGACAAAAAACATTCCTAACAGACTTTTAACCTCTGTTTGTAGGTCAACAGTGTGATAATGAAAAAAAAAAAGCTTGCACACCAGCACATAACACGGGGGGGGGGCAAGGGTGGTGAGCAGCCAGAGACAACACAGAGGCACTTACTCTGCTCTACCTGTTTTGTATTTGTAATTATTTTCGCTATCCTTGACATGTGTTATTGTCTTTCAGGTACACCTGGACCTACATCTGGACCTGTCATTCTGTGTTCATCTGTCTCTCCTTCCTGTCCTCTCAAACCCAACCGGTCAAAGCAGATGGCCGCTCGTCCTGAGCCTGGTTCTGCTGGAGGTTTCTTCCTGTTAAAAGAGAGTTGTCCTTTCCACTGCTGCCATTGTACTTGCTCAGGATGGGAGATTGCGACGATGTGAAGATTCAACACAGTCTGCTTGCTTCCTTAGATAGAGAACTTTTACTAATTGGCTTTTATAATGTATGCAAATGCTTTTGGACAGTGTCATGAGACAACTTCTTTTGAGATTTGGCATTATATAAATAAACTGAATTGAACTGAAATTATTGCTTTTATGATTCAATGCAGCAAAATAAATAAGTTTAAAAGGTAACCCGATCATAGTAATACTTGGTTTATTTACATAATGTCTTTAATTGCTGGATGTCTGGCCCCTGAACTGTTGGCTTTCAGTAACTGTGGTCCCCTGAACAATTTAGATGAATAGCCCTGCTCTATAGTATCTAACAGCTTGTACAAATGTATCCACAGAGGCATATCAAAACCAGCAAACAAAGTGCTAAGGAAGAAATCGTAGTTTTATTCTATGGTTGTTGAAACTCGTTAACAATGCACTTCATTCATTAAGTCACTTTTCATCAACTTCCAGATGCGGGAGTTCAGTGTACTTTACTACAACAGTGGTGAGACAAAAAGGAAAAGAGGATAATACTTTTGTCTTTTGAGAAGAAATGTTGAAGTGATGGAGCAGTATTTTGTGTTTTACCCTTATTAGTAAAGCAGTGCATATTGAATTTGCTTTTCACAAAGAACTGAATCAAAACATTGATGCACTTGACCAGGTCAGCCCACTGAAAACGAATAGGGCTGCTGTAATGCTAGTTTGAATCAATGCTCCTCATTGTTGGCTTGAAACACTTCAAACGATCTCCATCCACACTCTCGAGGACTTTTCCCACCACTGAAGCACCCACACTACACCGAGTGCTGATTTAATCTCCTCATACCAGCATTACATTTTATGCTCATTCTCTTCCTGGTTTATCAAGCAAAGCTTCAATTCAATTCTGTTTATTTATATAGCACCAAATCACAACAGAAGTCGTCTCAGGACACTGAACAGAAACATTCATAAACATTAAAAGTAAGTTAACATTATATAACTGAGGAGCAGACAGTTTTGAGTTCACGTTGAATTGAGTTTGAGTTCTGCTTCATGGACTAGTCCAAACGATCAACAGAATGGCAGAGCTTCTCCTCATAATTGTCTCAACATTCAGACCCAGTGGTTGACACATCTAACCAAAAGTTAGCTTTGCTAACCCATATTCCACTAACTAAAAAATTAGCTTAACTAAAGCTAAATCTCTATACAGTAAAAAAATAAAAATAAAAATGAGCAAAAGCTAATGTTACACTGCTAACCACTAAGACTGCGTCACACGTCTTCGTCTCCTTCCAGTTGAAGCTGCGTCGACCAATCAAGTCTTGTCACATGTATTAAGCCAATAGTGTGCCTAATGGACTTTTCAAGACACGCCTACAACAGACAGAAACAAGCTTGTAAATTTTGTTTGTGGACATAAAATTGGAGAAACCTAATTTAGCAGAAGCTAATTCCACTAACGTTTTTCAAAGTTAGTGAAAATGCTAATCCGCCAAACAAATAAATTGTTCCACTATTAGCTGTTAGCAGATTAGCATAACTGTGTCCACCACTGATTAGACCGCTTGACTCTAAAGTCATTGCTGATTGAAAACTATGCAAAATGCAACCTAAAAATCAGGTCTCTCTTGTAAATGAGTCCTCGAGGCTCAATGGGATTTACCTGTCTAAATAAAGGTTGCATGAATAATAACATTAAGTGAGACATTGTCGAATGATATGCTCTCAAAATCATCTGGTCAACAAGAACAAGGCCGTTCTTTGTGAGGTCCTCCACAATTAGCTCTGGAAACCAGAGAAAAATTAACAGGAACTTGTAGGATCTAACTATAAATTACATTTCCCATTTTTTAAAGGAAGTCCTTCATATGAATCACTGACCATGCTAAGAGCCAGGAGTTACCAGACGAGCCACATCTAGTTTTTCCATGTAAAAAAGCTATAGCAAGCATTCTATGGTCAGTCTCTGAGTGTGGAGACAGCTGAAGGACTTCAGCAGATCCATTGCTCCGGTCAGCTAAGGCATCCCCCTTATACTCAAACAGGAAATAGTCTTTCAACATCAGGCAATAACAACTCTACAAGGTTTACATTGAACTGAGCTGTCTTTAGAACGCTGAGACTTAGATGCATTTTGTTTTCCTGGGTATAGCACAGCAAAAGTTACTTCCAACTCCAAAGAAAAACACATCAGTCTGTGAGAGAAACATTTGTCTAAAGTATTAATCAGTTTAGAACTGCAAAGAGAAGCTGGATGTACATACTCAAGAAACTCTGTGATGTACTTGCGACTGCATTTGGACCATGACCATGGATTGGTGTCATAGTTGAGCGTGGGGGCCATGACATGGTACTGGTGCTTCATGCCCGCCTCGCGGCACTTGGGGTTGTCATCATGAGGCATGTTAAACCTGGTGCAAAAAGGAATGCACAAAAAAAAAGAAGAGTTAAAAACACAAAGTGATTATTAGTGTTTTACAAACTGTAGAATTCGGAAGGATAAATGTCATAAAATGTACTTTTGGCAATTTTGAACAGGACAATAGTCAGTGTCAAATTTACATAGGCTGCCACATAAAGATACAGTATATCTTTAAGGTTAAGGCTGTAAACAAATAATGTGGCTTTTTGTCAAAAGTTTATTCACTTGCCTTAGTTTTGGAAAAAAAAGTCAAATTTTGACTGGAGTGACAAGGAAACCCAAGTCAAAAAGGAGCCAAGGAAAAAGTAAGATTGCTGCTCCAGCACCAACCCTACAGATATCCTATTGGATGCAAAGGCTCTTTTGTAAACCTTCATATCACTATCAGTTTTGCAGTTTTGGTTATTTATGTAGAATTTTATGGTTATAAGCTATCACAAAAAAGCAGCAACATCGGCTAACCATAGCTGGACCATCCATTAGCTTGTCAACCTCATCAGAATTAAGCCCTTTATTGCAAGATTGTTCAATACCTTTCCACAGAACGTCACTTTAAAAGACGCACTATTAATTTAATGGTTTAATCTCTTAATAACAAGGAAAGGCCTCAATAATACTGAAAGTGGTGAATAGAAGGTGCAATTTTTACATAAACTGTCAGTCTCCATCTGTCAGCATCCATTACCTCCAACATGCTGATTACTTAGAACCACCTCCAGCTCACCCCTTGCAGGCCAAAGCTCGCCAACTCACATTCTCAAGCAGCTTAATGCAGAGAAGAGTTAGGGGTGGTAATATTATGCACGACAGCACATATATATATATATATATATATATATATATATATATATATGTGCTGCTTGAGTATAAATACATAAAAGTATTACTGAATTTTTAACAGTATCATAATTAGATTGACAATTTGCTGAAATTACATCTATTTTACTGTTTATACGTCCAAATATTAGAAAACAATCCAACATTTGTTATTAGTTACCTAATACTAAACCATCCTTAGTAAACTGAATAGATTAATTCAGGTTGTCTTATAGGTGGCAGCTTTTCTTGCTTGCCCTGAACATTAAGAGAAATGTCCTATTGGTCCTGCAGTTTGGCACACAACTCCTGAAAACATGTAAAGATGAGCACACATATATTTATATACACACAGGAACCCATCCAGCTGTATGATGTCTGAGATGTTTATAACAAGATGTGGGCCAGAGCTGGACTGAGCTGTAGCCGAGGGTCAGTCCGTACATCCAGGCAAACAAGATCTAGCATGGCTGGCATGAGGCCCACTCTGCAGGGGCTCAGGGACTGAGGGCAAACACCCAAGAAATAATTAAGCCTCTGGCATAGTAATCTCTGCACACACAAACCAGGCTGCTAGATAACACTAATAAAACCAACTCAAACAGGATTTGCAGGTTATACAGATAAAGTAATGCAGAGGGTAAAAATTAGCACCAAAAAAAAAAAACCTAACAATGGGATATGATGCAGTTAAGTCACTTATGTTCATTTCATGAAGGGTGATTAAGAGTCATGTAGGTCTTAGGTTGATTTCTCTGACTAGGATCTGGAAAATAAAAACTAAAAATCCTGATAATAGAGGTTTTAGCGTAATTAAGTCATTAATCAGGCAGCTGTTCTGCCCAGATCAATGAATGTGTTGATCTGTTTTTATGGCATCCACACTGTCATAATATTAAAGTCTGTTTCCCTTTGATCAATGCACTTAAAAACAACTGCATCACTCTTTGTAGATCACCATCCTATTTCAAGTGGGTCAAGTGGCCCTAGATTCAAGCAGCCATTGAATTGAATTTGTTGTATTCCTTTCTGCAGCAAGTCAAACCATAGCTGTTGTGGTTGACACTCGAGATCCGGTGGATCAGAAATGGGTTAGAATTGGCAAATGAGCTGATAACCACACGTTTGATCGGGGAAAAATTAGAACTGTATTGACATATGGGAGGACTGGTGACAGACTGCAGTGGCAGTGGTGATAGATACACAAGCACACAATATTAAAATATAATTTCAATTCAGTTCAGTTTATTTATATAGCACCAAGTCACAACAGAAGTCTTCTCAGGGCACTGTACAGAAACATTTATATATAAAATAATAAGTTAACACTATAAATCTGAGGAGCAGACTGCTTTGAATTTAACTCCATCGCAGAACTCTCATCTTGATCGAACATGAAGGCGACAGTGGAAAGGAAAAACTCCCTCATGAAGAAGAAACCTTTAGCAGAACCAGGCTCAGGACAAGCGGCCATCTGCTTCGACGGGCAGGGTTTGAGAGGACAGGAAGAAGGAACAGAAACACAATGGCAGGTCAAGAATCACATGTTAAGATAGAAATACAGTAGTCCCTTGCTACTTTGTGGATTGTTTATCGTGGACTCGCTCTATTGCAGTTTTTCAAAATAAGATTGGACATGACCCACAATTGGCTGATTGATGGATGAACTGCACGATCGGCATGGACTTTTTATTTAAAATAAATTATTTAAAATTATTTAGCAGCTGCTGCACATTTGTGCAGCCCATACTGCAAGATAAACTTCCTCCTGCAGCTGAACAGCTTTTCTCCGCAGAGCAGAGAAGTGGGCGTGGCCAAGAGCACTTGCAGGTGGTAAAGAGCAGCGGAGGCGTAGAGCTGAAATCATGATATTCTGTGCTCTTTTAGTGCGTTTAGAGTTTAGAAACATTGTTTAGAATATTTTAAGAGTGTGGGAAGGGTTTAAAACGCCTTTATACACACACACACACACATATACATATATATATATATATATATACTAAAATAAACTGCTACTTACTACTTGCACTACTATTCCTACTTCTCAGTTTTTCACTTTTTGTGGGTCTTCAGGTACGGATTCACTGGGATGAATGAGGGACTACTGTATTGTTAAATGAAAACTATTCAATTTTAGCAATTAGATTTAGCAAAGAAATGAGGTCAATTTGTCCTCTAGTAGTCTAAGCTTAAGACAGCATAACAAGCCGACCCTAATTATAGAATTTATCAAAAAGGAATGTCTTAAGCCTAGTCTAAACTTGAAAATGTGTCAGCCTTACAGACAGAATCTGGAAGTTGGTTCCACAAGAGAGGAGCCTGATAACTGAAAGATCTGATTTGCATTCTGCTTTTGGAAACTCTAGGGACTGCAAGTAAAGGCTCCAGTATACTCGGGCGTACGTGAGTCCGCGGAGGTCCATGCGTACCGGATTAGAGTCGAAGCGAACGCCTGCATGGCGTGTCTGTGCAAAGCTCAATTTTTACGACCATGTATGCATACTCTGTGTTGCACAATAAACTGCCCGGCAACAAACTGTTTTGTATCGGACACCAATGTATTAAATATCCCTTCTTCATTCCTGATCTGGTTTAATGGCCTTTTGTTTTGTTTGTTTGTTTTGTTTTTTTCCCAAGAGGTAAACAATCTCTTCCTCCTTGTCCGTTGACACCATGACTGAAATGGTGAGAAATTAAGGAATTTGTCACTAATGAATTAAAATCTGGTCCAGCGTGGCTGCAGGAGGGTCTGGAGATTTCCTGGTGGGCTGATCTGATGTGTGGGCCGCAGGGCCAGCACTCCCTGTTTTTTTTTTTTTGGCGGGGGGGGTTAGAACTTTTTATTAACAACATATAAACACAGAACACTGCTGCGGCTGGGGCTGCCATGCTGTCAGCTTTCGTTTTTTTATTGTTGTTTTTTTTGCGACCTGTCAATCAGTCCAGTAGGCATGTCAACAAATGACCAGTCGGCGACCTCAATTTGTCCCAAAGGTAAACGCCCCTTGTCTGCGGAGCTGATTTGCAGCCGCTCTGGGTGGACGCTCGAGTATGAAGTCTCAACCCTCTGCGGACAGTGCACGTCGAGTCTGCACGAAAAAAGGATTGCCCGAGTATACTGGAGCCTTAAGCCTTCAGTCTGAGAGCGAAGTGCTCTGTTAGGAATATATGGAACTATAAGATCTCGACTATAAGATGGAGCTAGGTTGTTGAGAGCTTTGTAGGTTATAAGTGAGATTTTGAATTCCATTCTGGATTTGACAGGGAGCCAGTGGAGAGAAGCTAAAACTGGAGAAATGTGATCTCTCCTACTAACTCCAGTTAAGACTCTGGCAGCAGCATTTTGGATCAACTGAAGACGTTTTAAAGAAGAATTTGGACACCTAGATATCAAACCATTGCAATAGTCCAGTCTAGATGTGACAAATGCATGAACCAATTTTTCTACATCATTTTTAGATAAGATGTTTCTAATTTTAGAGATATTACGCAGGTGGAAGAAGGCAGTTCTAGTAACGTTTTTCATGTCGGGGGTAAAAGACATGTCCTGATCAAAAATAATACCAAGATTTTTAACATTAGAACTGGAGGCCAGATTAATGCCATCCAAGGAGGGTGAAAGACTGAAAAAAATATTCTTAAAATGCTCAGGTTCAAAAAACAAAATCTCAGTCTTGTCTGTGTTCAAAATCAGAAAATTTCGGGTCATCCAAGTTTTTATGTCTTTAAGACATCTTGTAGTCTAAGTAACTGATTGGATTCATTGGGTTTTATGGACAAATATAACTGAGTATCATCAGCATAACAATGAAAATATATCCCATGCTGTTTAATAACATTACCTAATGGAAGCATATATACAGTAAACAGTATTGGTCCAAGCACTGAACCCTGAGAAACTCCATGACTAACTTTGGTTTATGATGAAGATTCATTATTTATATTTACAAATTGGAATCTATCAGACAAGTATATATAGATACATGTGCTGCTGTGCTGTCAGGGTCCCATCAAATTACTACCTGAGGTGACCTGACGTGTACCCTATGGCTTCCCACACTATGTCAGGAATAATATCAATGTGTCTATCCACTACAATGGCAAAATTGGTCCTGTTCCCTCAGAACATGCACTTGATGTTCATTTGTGGTTATGCAAAACCAATATTCATTGCTAAATATATTGTAGTAGCATCGTCAATCCATACCTCCTGGTTACAGCATATTTCAAACAATGCCATCCCTGCTCTGGTGTAAATGGCAGATGGTACACAAGTGTGGTTGTAGTTAGATTCATGCCAGTCATTGTGACATGGTGCAGGGCGACATGGGTTGTTGTAAAGAGTTAAACAAACCGTTAACATACTAATTTCTGTTTTGCACCAAATTTTGTCCAGATCAACCTATTATTTCTGGTCATCTGGTCTTAACATTGAAAATCACAATCATATCATCCAATAATCTTGTTGAGGTGATACTGCCAGTATATCTCTGTGGTGCTAATTTCCATATCTGTCATTTATTTTTTGTAAAGAAAGTCTTCCTTGAGCCTATTTTACTCTTATAATAAGGTCTTTAGGCATGCAAAACTTGACAAATTCTTATCAATGACAGTTTCAAACAACTCTAAAGTAACGGCTTCAAGCTAGTAAAAATTCCCATGAAGGTCATTAGTGGTCACACGTCCATGCAGTCATCTGAGAAAGGCCTCCCATCCATTAGTCTAAATCTTTTTAAATCTGCAATGCTCTTGAGTGGCTCCCATGCACAACCTCATACTGGCTTTCCCAGAGCGCTAAACACTGTGGAGGGCTCACGCCTACAAATGCTGTAATCAACCACGGCAGGACCAGAGCCAACTGGGCCTCCAGCTGCTTGAACTTTAGCATAAACAGATCCACATGGGGAGAGAGGGCGTAAGGCCCGTCCATCTGCTGCTGTTCTGCTGCGATCACTCCGCTGGAAGAATGTGACAGAGGAGGGAGAAGAATATCTTTCATTCTTAAACAGTGACACTAGTTCTTTTCAATGCCCACAAAAATACTCTTATTCACTTGTATTTAAACTCTGCAAAGTAGGTTGCCAGGAAAAACTGAAGAACAAACTAAGTTGCTTTAATCTTCCAATCTAAGACACTATCAGATAACAATTGTTCTCCAATTGCACCGTTTTTAAATCACCTCAGATCAAGATCACAGAGCATGAGAGAGTTACTGTGATTCTGCATTAGAAGAATGTTTGGAATAAACAGTACTTCATATGAGAGATAAACTCATGCATTTTGACTTGGTCATTTTGAGACAGGTATCAAAAACAACACATTCTGATGCATGCTCAATGATCCAGGTAGACAAATCTAAAAGGTTGAGTCAGGTCCTCCAGACAGATTCTTCTTGTTGAAACATTTTGTATTTTATCCAAAAGACGTCTGTTGAGCTGCAATCAACTGTGTTTTATAAATAGCACCTTGTAACAGTGGATCAACCAGTTTGCTGGTGACAGCCAAAACCAGTTGTTCACATGCAAAAGGAGGACCATCATCCTAACGACCTGGTTATTGCCCTGATGGCCACTTGCTATTCACAGAGGGCCGAGTGAAACTAGCAATAACAGTATTGTAGGAGGGGGACAGTTGGACACGGAGACCTCTGATGGCTGATGGTCTTTTGGATAAAAGATGCAATGTTTCAACAAGAAGAATCCATCCAGAGGACCTGACTTAACCTTGTTAGAAGTATTGTATAGAAATTTTTGTCTCACCTGAAACGTGTCAGTGTTTGCTTGTTGTGTAAACAACATGGCTCCCAGACACACATGGCATGACAATTTAGGTGTGAGTGGGTCTGTTGGCCTGTCATGTTAGCAAAATATCTCATGAACCAGTGGATGGATTTATTTTCTGGGACTCTCATGTTTATTCCTCTGTTTCTCCATCTGTCACTAAATCATTTCCTCTCAGTCAGTTCCTGCTCCTCAGCTCCTGCCCCGCCCACTCTCACCTGTTCTCGGTTGTCATTTTGCCCAGGTGTCTGCACTGCACTTATCACCCCCCGTCTATAAAGTTTTTCCCGTTTTCACCTCAGTCAGTCCAGCAGTATGTGTGCTTCATGCCATGTTTGGTTCTCATCCGTGGTTTCTTCGTGTCTAGGTGTATTTATTCCTCATTTCCTGTAGGCTGTTGCTGTCAAGCCAGCATTTTTAAAATTGATTTTAGCTTTTTGAGTTTTGCCTGCATACCTTAGTCCAACCTCTGCAACCATTACAGAAGCTACAATTTAGTGTCATAGTACCATAGTCATTCCTAACAAATACTCCAAGCACTAAAAGAGTAAGAGTTTTTTTTAAATTTGGCATTAATTGTTGGAGTCAAGCCTGTCTGTCTGTAAGCAAAATATCTCATGAGCAACTGGATTTTAATGCATTGTAATCATTTGATGCAAACCTGTCACTGATAGCCTTTTGGAGTCAACCATTTCAAGATGGCTGCTACAGCTGATCAACTTCGTCCAACACAGAAATGCCTGTAACTTGGTCAGTTTAACAGACAGTCAGGTAAAATATGGCACGTTAGTAGAGTCACAAATTACGCTAATCGATTACGCAAGATTTTTATTAAAATAAAAAAATTGAGTGTGCAATGCTTTTCTTCTGTACGCTGATGTTTTTCATTTGCTCATAACGCTTTAATAAAACTTACTAGCATAAGGAGAAAGCAGGGATTTGTATTAAAAGCTTCTTTTTCCATTATATCCATACTTAATTTCACCTAAGCTTGCCATTGTCAAGGTAAATCTCAACTGACTGACTCCTGAGCTGTACAGGAAGGCATTATGGGCTTCAACGTTATTAAAAGTCAGGTTTTTTGCTTTATTATGTTTTGCACCTGTGGCTGCTGCACCCTACATTTTTTTATAAGAGGGCTTTTGTTGTCAAGGCTGGCTGAGGAGGGTGAGATAGGTTTTGCGTGTGCATGATGTGTGTGTGTGTGTGTGTGTGTGTGTGCGTTTGGGTGGGGGGGGGTGTAGAGGTGAAAGGGGTAGCTGCTGGCTGTGAGCTGCAACTTACACATGGCCCAGCTCATGAGCGATGGTGAAGGAGGCACTAATTCCATTTTCTTCACTGATGGAGCAGCTGCGGAACGGGTCACACATGGTCCCAAGCTCGGCAAGCCCTACAAATACAAACACACAGATGCAAAACTATTTTTTACAGAGTTATTAAATGAAAACTAAAACTATTAAATTCAAACTAGTATTTTTAAGAGAAACGACACTAGACATTCTTCACCCTCCTCTTACATCAGCCTTTTCATTTTCCATAATGTTATTAGCTGACAGCCTGGCATAAACTCATTACTGAATAGTTTATGAGCTGAGGCCGGCTGAGTGGAAACTCGGTTCAGAGGAAGTGGAAAGTGGAGGTATTTTTGAGGGGAAAAGGCGAAGGTTTACCTAAAGTGTCACATTTGTCTTTTGCACCGCAAATGTCTTCCCTGAGGAAAAAATAAAAACAAAAAGAGAAACTTTAACACATCTGTTTGCTCAAACAAGTTGGATTTCTCTTTCAAGCATGGGTACCTGGTGATGAGGAGTGCGGTGTCATGGTGGGACGGATGGCTGTCATCCTCAACATTTTGGCTCTGCTGCCAGACGCAGAAGTTGTACAGAGTGGTGGCAGCGTTGAAGCTCACAGTGGGTCCTTCCTGTTTTTGGTTTTGTAAAGCAATAATCCACAAGTGACATTTTATCTTATGTTGGGGTGCTTGAGTCCCTATATTTTAATTTTAATCACTTTTCTAAAGAAATCAAAGGCTTTTATTGGTGATTTTTTTTTTCAGTTTTTTTTTAACCTTTTATTCATTAGCTTTCATTACCACAAGGTTATGAGTAAATTCTTAACAAGACCAAAATTAGATTAATAAAGAGAAACATTTTAAAGAACTAAAGAACACAGTGTATCCCTGCAGCAGCATTTCACTTGCAGGTGCTTTACAACGGCATCATTTGTTCTTCAAGGAGACCTCATGAGATTTGAGACTGACAAGAAGTGCAGTGTAATTTCAAACAGGCCCCACAGACAAAAGACCGAGCCAGACACCTGGGATGACGTCAGTCACGCTGAAGACCTTCATGCACGAAGCATTCAGGACCCCTTGTGCTCACCTGTTCATTGTGGATGATGACTAGCTTGACAACCATGATGTTAATAAGATTTCCTACGCTGGGGTCCTTATACACTGCTGCTACCTGTAAGAGACAAAACACACAAAAATGAATGCAAACTTTCAATAACCTTTGTCAGAATAAAACAGAAGTAAATCAAACTCCTAGAATAATTCTTGAAACAGAGTTATTGCTATGAGAATTTTTTTCATCCAACCTTTATTTAGACAGGTTAATCCCATTGAGCCTCGAGGACTCATTTACAAGAGAGACCTGGTTTCAACAAAGAATGATGACAACAATTGACAACAACGACAACAATAAACAGTTATAAAAGTTTATAAAAGATTGTTTTTAAATAGAAAAATAGAATAGATAATCACATAGAATTGTTATGAGAAAACTAATTGGGGCGGCTGTGGCTGAGTGGTTAGAGCAGTCGTCCTCCAAAGCAAAAGTTGGGGGTTTGATTCCACCAGCAGTCACATCCTGAAGTTTCCCTGCACAAGACACTGAACCCCTGATTACCTCCGATGTGTGTCCCATCATGAGTGTGCTCTAAAGCACTGATTAGTCTTTGTATAGATCCAGAAGAGTGCTGTATGTATGGGTAAATGAGGACACAGATTGCAGTAAATGATAAATGGACTGTACTTATATAGCACCTTTCTATCTTAACAAGACACTCAAAGTGCTTTACAACACAATCTGTGTCCTCATTTACCCATTCATACAGCACTCTACTAGATCTCTACAAAGAATAATCAATGATTTATCACATTCATACACTGATGGGCCACACATCGAAGGCATTGAGGGGTTCAGTGTCTTTGCCCAGGGAGACTTGGGCATGTGACTGCTGGTGGAATCGAACCCCCAACTCTTGCATTGGAGGACGACTGCTCCAACCACTCAACCACAGCCGCCCCGTAGTGTAAAGTGCCTTGAGTATCTTGATAAGATAGAAAGGCACTATATAAGAACAGTCCATTTACCATTTGTTACATGTTCAGGTGACTCTTGTTTTGCAGCAAGTGAACATTTCATTCACAAGGAAGCAAAATCGCCTTGTTTTATTCGGTTTAACTGTATTATAAACCAAATAAATAAATGTAAAAAATGAGCAAATCAGGAGCTCAAAGCCCTCTAAGATTTCTGGTCCCCCCCCCCCCCCCCCCGCTCTTTCTTTTCTCAAGCACCCCCGTCACAGTTGGCCTGCTGTCTCCTGAGGCTGTGTCCGGCCTCATGACAGGAACTCATTAGTCCACTTTAAACATTTAGCTTGTCTTAGCCTAAGGAGGGCAAATATGGCCTCAGCCCTACTTGTCTTTGCAAACACTTTGTCAAACTGTAGGATGGTGGTCTGTATCCTGTCACTGCCAAACGTCTAACAGAGGATCTGATCATGTTTTAACTAAATACAAATTTATAGAAAAAAAAATAAAGAAATGCAAGCAGAGCTGTAGGTACATGACAAGTGTCAGTATTCTTTTCATCTCAAGGTTTAAATAAAATAACAGAAAAAACTATTTAAAGCATATTAAAATATTTTACTTGAGCTCAGTTTTTCCAATAGTCTTTTTTAAACTTCATTGACAGGCATCTTGTGGAAAAACTACGAATAAAAAAATGCTACGTGTTGCTTTCCAATATCAATAGAACAGAGTTTTGTTAAACTTATCTTGTTCTCTGTGTTTATGAGTTACCTGATTTGTTTTTCCCATTTGAGTTGTTTAATTGTATTTTCCTTCTTATGTTATGTTCTAATGTTTTCTACTTGAATATTGTATATTTGGTTATCTGTTCCTGGTTTACACCTGGTTTTAGTTTGTAGTCGGCACACCTGCAGCTTGTTTGCCCTTGCAGTTTCTATACATTCAGTTTTCTTTGTTCTTTTTCAGTTTGTCATTCCTGTGTCGGTCCAGCCCATCTTTTAGTCTAGTGCTATCCTTATTCTCAACCTTTTTAGTTTTGTTCACCCTCCTCTGCAGTTCCCTTGTTTTTATACTTTATGATAATTGAAACTTTCCGTGCACACTATAGCTGTTTATCAAATGTCAAGTGTAGTACAACTTGTCTTGCCCTGGTTCGTTTCTACACAGTCTTGGTGATTTTCAAAGCGGTGAGTGCTGCCTCAATGTGGGTGGGATTGTCTCCGCAAGGCTGCTCAACACTCATGGTACGCCTGGTGGTCCATGGTCTGTCACACATAAGGTAAAATTGAATTAAAAGAAGGCTTACAGGGATTTAAAAATTGGATGAAAGTAAGTATGTCTGTAGACAATGGAGTGTTTGCCATGACTCAACCAGTCATGTGTCTCCCTGGATATTCAATGGCCTGCAGTGCTGCTGAGATGAAATCATAGACTCAGCACAGCTCATCCAGAACTTTAGCTAGGCAGGTCCTAAGAACCCAGCTGGAAACAGGTAGGATCACCTGATGGCAAGCCTTTGAACCCACATTTATCAATCCGAGCAGGTCGAGTCAAGCCCGTGAAAACAGCTTATGTGCCTTCCTCCTAGTCTTGCATTTAGGTTCTCTTTCTCTGTCATGGATGGCAGACGAACGTACACTTGATGGTCAACTTACTCTATCTACTGTGACTCAGTTCATGATCCAACTTAAAGACTTAGATTATTCTAATTTAGGCAACATTTTATAGTACAGCAGTTTACTTATAAACTTTTACTCAAGTATTTGATTAAATGCAGAGTTTGAACAGAGACAGGGATCTTCTGCTGTACAGCGTGATATATTTAATTAATAACAATAAAATGTTAATGTCGACCACTGGACATGTGCATGGCAGAGCTTTTTCTTTGACTTCAAGCCTGGGAATTAAAAACTGACACATTTAACACTAACTGCACTTTTTTTTTTCTTTTTAAGGAAAACAATGCACTGACAATCATTACGTTTTCATCAGTTAATGTTTTCAACAAGCTTGTCCGTCAAGCTGGTGAGAGACAGCAGAAGGGACACACAGTTCAGGTGGACTGAAAAACCTCTCTGCCTTTAGACACTGTTCCTAGACAGTGGGTCACAGTGTGAGAGGACTGATTAACAGCTGTTCTAACCATCAAAGTTAGGACTAAAAGGCTCAGGATGCTGAGTCAGGACAGAGTCTATTAACAGGGTTGTTTTGGTTCATGCAGCAACCGGCTGGGGTCACTCTGAGGTTTACAACCAACATGTCAAAACTATAAAATCTGAAACAGGAAACACTCAAACATGGGACACAAGTTGTCTCATTAAATTACACAAAAATGCACTGAAATGCATTGTAACATCATATTAATGACATTTTGTTTTGATCAAACTTTTTTGTTTTTATTTATGGCAAAACTGTTAAAAAGCTTTTTTGTCACTTGTTCCCTCAGTGCAGTTTTCTGTACAGAACTAAAGGCAAATTGCTGGTGCTAAATTTTGTTACAAAAAGACTAAACTGCAACATGACAAATTTGTTTCTGACTTTTTTATTTATTTATTTTCACCCATTTCTTTGGACTAGGAAACTTAATTTGTGATATGAGTTCAAACTGTGTTGGGATCATTCTATGTAGACGCTGGTCCATTTCAATCTCCAGCTAATAAATAGTTTTTGTTTCAAACACAACTGGTTAATTATCACTTGCAGCCATAAACAATTGTCTTTGGCATGAAATGTGGTGGGTGATATGCAATCCTAAATGGAATGCTAGTTTAATTTATGTTCCAATATTTCCTCAGATACCCTACATGAAGAGTAAGAACTGGTCTGTTCACCAAGCTTTATCTGCTAACTCAAACCCAATCAAGACAATATGCCTGTTAACACAGTAACAAGGAAAACAATCTTTACAGAACTGCTACTTCAACAAGATGGTAATGATCCTGCATAACAATATTAAACAAAAAACAACAATAATCAATAATTTTAGAAACATTATTTTACTTACTACTGACATGATTGTTAAGATGTAATGCTCCAGGTTGCGTCCATGGTGTTGCACCATTTTGGCATCCGCCGTCACCATTAGCTCTACGTAGCGAGGGTAGGAGAGGAAGCGCTTGCGTCTCTGATGGGAGGTGGTGTTGGTGCTGGTGAAGCTGTTCTCCTCGTGTTGTTCATCTACTGTGGCTCTGAGAGCGTCCAGCTCCTCTCCCATGTTCCCTCTGCTCTCGAAAGCAACCGACCTCCCAGAGTCTGTTTTAACCAAGAAAAATGCATTAAAATGTTTTCCAATTTTCTTTTTTCTGCGCATGCATCCAGTCTACAACAGGTCGAAACCAACTGTAACTTTCAAATCAAACATTTATTAAATCACTGTTATTTATTTCACATAGACTGTACAAAAAAGGGTTAAATCCTGTCATCTGGACCAGTTATCTCCCTTAAAGAAATTGGTCCATATGACATGATTTAACCTTTTTTTGTTATCTACCTGGAGGATTGAGCTTACAAGCCTTTTTTTTTTACATAGACTGTACCTTATGAAAAGGCACATGACATGCACAGGTTAAATTATTGAACAGAAACAAATTTTATGGAAGAAACTCTTCATAAATTTTAGTGCCATTGGAGGACGTAGAAAACAGTTGTACTGATTTAGTATATTGGGATGCTTTAAAACTGGGATGTTTTGGTTCAGGCTACACAAACAGCAATAAAAAATCCTTGATGATATTTTACTGACTTCATAAAGGACTTGCCTCAGTATGCACTCTGCAAAAAAATTACACACCCCCTAAACTGTCCCATTTTTCTCCTTTGTTCAGTAGAAGTTATTTGGTGAATGCCTAAATTCATGCTAAAATAAAAAAAAAATCAAATGTATTTAGTGCCATACTGCAACAATTTTTTCCAGGTCTGATATGAACGCCTCCAGCAGCAGTGCTGCAGCCAGAATGACAAGTGTTTGCACTGCATGTTGAACTGGATCAGCCCTTTCAGCTGAGCTGCACGTGTGGAGCTGGCTCTGAGTGGTAGATTCCTTCACCATGACAGTTAGGTTAAAAGAGGGGGACAAAGGCAGAATATAAGCATGAGCAGATTGTTGTTTTTTACATAGAAAGAAAGATAAGGAAAAACAAAATGACTAAAATAGATTTTGTTAAAAGCCTAGCATTCCCTGGAGAAATGCACATCACCCCCCACCTTTCAGCCCAGAGTTTAAATCATCTTATAATAAGAAAAACAACAGAGTAATAAGGATATTTTAGCACTCAGCAGATTATCAATGACAAACCAGTGAAATTTTTGCTAAATATTTATGTAACTGGATGAGTTATGTTCATGTTTGAAAGTTGATTAGTGTGGTATCCAACAAAGTTCAGTCAGGTCATCTGGATGGTGTCTTTTTTTGTTGAAACATTTCATCCTTCATCCAAAGGACATCATCAGTCCGAGGAGCCACAATAAAACTCAGTCCCACAAGCAGAACACTCACATAGTGGACCAACCAGTTTGCTGGTGATAAGATGGTTTCTGGGGCCCACCCTCTCCCCCGGTCCACTCCTCTGAGGCAGCCATAGCCAAAGTGATTCAAAACATCAAAGCTCATCTTGTCACCAGCAAACTGGTTGACTCACTGTGTGAGTGTGCTGCTTGTGGGATTGTAACAACGTAAGTTTGTGTGTGTGTACAATCGCTAATTGTATGTAAATGAGCATCCAGGTGCACGGCTGTGAGTGGAGGAAGACACCGAGGAGCTGAGCACAGATTGGCTGTCTGACGAGAGGTGTGCTGCATAAAAGGAACTGGGTTGGTGATGACGTTGGCGTTCCACCCACTCTGCACGTCCCAACCAGCCACAGCTGACTGGCTGTTCTTCGTTAATGTCAGATCAGTTAGTTTGTTTTGTGAGGAGCTTGTAGGGGTGAGCTACAGTTTAATTTAAGACATTTTCTCCTGTTTGTGTTAGCTTAGTTAAGGTAAGAGACCTGTAATTTGGTTAATTTTGTTGGGTTTTTTTTGGTAAGAGAAAAATAGTAATGATAGTTTTGTTTGTTGTTTTGGAATGGGCTCACCCTGAAGTTGGTAAGACTCACAAAAATGAACAGTATTCACATTTGTAAATAAGCTCACTGTTTAACACATGTTCATTGACTCCATGGCTGCTTGAGGGTGCCGAAGGTGGAAACGCCCACATTTAATTACATCATGGCGGCTGTGTTTGCCCCTGGTTGTAACCATCTTGGCCCCGAACATTGCGCTCATGGACATGAACACAAAATGCTAAAGCCTGATCCCAATTAAAAGTTCATCCATCCATTACCTTTACCCGCTTATTCCATTTTGGGTCACGGGGGTCGCCGGTGTCCATGTCCAGCAATCACTGTGCGAGGGGCGGGGTACACCCTGGACGGGTCGCAAGTCCATCACAGGGCCACATATAGAGACAAACGAGACAAACAACCATTCACTCTCTCACTCACACCTAGGGACAATTTAGAGTTACCAATCATCCTAACATGCATGTTTTTGGTCTGTGGGAGGAAACCGGAGCACCCGGAGAAAACCCACGCATGCACGGAGAGAACATGCAAACTCCACCCAGAAAGACCCCCGGACCGGGGTTTGAACCAAGGACCTGCTCGCTGAGAGGCAGCAGCTCTACCAGTTGCGCCACCGTGCTGCCCCAATTAAAAGTTTCAAAAGACTATTTCAAAATCTGAGAATTAAAAAAAATATATATATTTCAATGCTTTCTACTAGGGATGGGGCCGATCCAATCCAGTATCGGTATCGGCCTCCGATACCAGCATAATTTACGTATCGGATTTTCTGATCCACGATGCACGTCTGTGGTTGTGCTGCACGTTGGCTTCAAACTATGGAATGGATTTCCTGAACGGTGGCGTGTCTCATGAGCCCAGAGTAATAAGACCCGCCTCACATTCAGGAAATCCAGTTCATAGTTCGCAGCCAGCTACAACGTGAGGACTGAGTTAGCAGCACTGTGGCTAACAGCTAACAAACTTTTCATCTAAACATGTCCACTGTGGCGCCCGACTGGGGAGGTGGCTCTGGTGGTTCTGGGTGATGGCCTGTGCTGGCTGCATGCAGGCTTCTGGGCAGTCTGTACCGGCGGACATGGGTTACTGGCCTGGTGACCTGGCTGTCCCTGGGTGGGTTTGGGGTGGACGCGGGCACGGGTTCTTGGTCCGGGGGTCTCGGGCCTTGGCGGGTATGTTGCCAGGGTCTTGGGCCGGCGCCCGGCCCTGGCCTTGGGGCCTTTGGTGCGTTGGTGGGCTTTGGGGCCTGTGCCGTGGGGGGGTGGGACTGTTGATGGGGGGGGGGTCTGTGGGAGGGGACGGGCGGGCTCAACCTGGGCGTCTTCTTGCCTGGCGGTGGCCGCGGCGTGGTGCTTGGCTGGGGGGCTGGGCTGTGGGGGGTATATTGGGGGCTCTCGCATGGGGGGCTCTGTGCTGTGGGACCGGGGGAGTCTGGGCTCGTTGGGTCTGTGCCCTCACTTGCATGGGGCGCTCTCGCTGTGGGTGTTGTTATGGGTGGACTGGTCTTTTGCTTTTTTGGGGTGGGGGGGCGCTCTTGGTCATTGTGGTGCTCTATCTCTGACTGTTTGGGCACTCTTGGCTGATTGTCCCGGTTGGGGTTTGGTGGCCTCTCTGGTTGGGGGGCTGGGTGCTGTGCTGGGAATCGGGTTGGGGCGTCTGGACGGTTTCGGGATGGGTCTGGGTTGCTGGCCCTGGTTCTGGTTGGTCCTCGGGGGCTATGTGCCGGTCCGTGGCCTTGATCCCTGGTGGTGCGGCTGCCACCTCCTCCTAGGTATCTCTGTTAGAGCCTCTCTCCCCTGGTGGATCTCGGAGAGTGGGGGGTGCCTATTGGGGTCAGTGGGGAAGCTGGTCCCCTGGCGGGGGCATTGCCACCTCAGTTCACCTCCCCATCCCGACGTCCTCCTCCACCCACTCCACCACACCATCACTCAAACAGGGTTTTGGGGTTCAGGTGCACTACTGAGCTACGGGGAGAATCATCCATCTGGTGGGGTCCTGGGCCCGCTGTGCCGATTCTTTTAATCTAGGTTCCTGGTTGCGATGGCCGGCACTTTTACCGGGGTGGCTGCCGGCTTTCGGCGGGGGGTCAGCTATGGTAGTGTACGTGTGGTCATTGGTGGTGTAGGGCGGCGGTTGGGGGCGTGGCTTCACCTCATCAGGGCACTGGCTGGTCTTCCTGTGTGGCATTTGCGGTGGGGGTGCTGTGTGTGTGGGGGGTGCGTAGGTGGCGTGCTGGGGCGTCTCCGGGCCTATGGTGCGGAGCTCTTGATGTGGGAGCCGACCCTCCTCGGCTGCAGCTCCCTGCTGCTCTGCCCCTTGGGCTGGGGCCGGCCTGTGGTCGCTGTCGGGTAGATGGTGCATGCGGTCGGCCCGACAGAGATTCTGTCGGGCTATCTGTGTGTGCCTGTTTGTTGCTCAGGTTGGGTTTTTGGTGGTCCCCCCTCTCTTGGATCAATCCCACACCAAACGTGGGGCCCACTCCCCCCAGTCGTGCCCCCTTTGGCAGGGGGCCCCCTTGCCGCCGGTGCATTGGTGGCTCTCGGCGTCTGGGCTGGGTGGTGGGGTGTACGTCGGTCCACCCTGGTTGCTGCCTGGTGGGGCCTGGATGCCCTGGCTCTGTTGGGGCTCTGCTGGGGTGTGGTATGGCCTCGGGGCTTGGGGCTCGGTGTCCATGGCCGGATCTACTTGGGGGGGCATGGGATGCCGGCCGGACCTGTGGGCTCGTCGCTGCAGCTTCCTGGAGGCTCTGCATTGTGGTTGCTGGGGTCACCCGGTTCTTTCCTCTGCTCCTCTCTGGGGGGGGGGGGGGGGGGGGGGGGG